GGAGGTGAGTCTTCTCACTATACTTTACCTTGAGTAGGTAAATAGAGTTATGTGATACAGTGCTTTATATATATATATATATATATATATATATATATATATATATATATATATATATATATATTGTTTGTTGTACTGCATTCTTCTATGTGATTTATGTTGTGCATGCTTGCAGAGTTAGAACCTGAGGGTTCACAGAGTTTGGGTGCACGGACCCACAGATTTATAGCCTCGAGTGGCTAATATGTGTTATATGTGGTATTTTGGGGAACTCACTAAGCTTTGTGCTTACAGTGTTTTCTGTTATGTGTTTCAGGTACTAGTGAGGATCGCGGGAAGGCGCCGGCTTGATCAGTACACACACGGGATTTACGATAGGAGATCTTGGGATATTGTTATATGTTATACATTGAGTTTCAAACAATGATGTTTTTATGATTTACAAATGAATTATGTTTTTATAAATGCGAAAAATTGTTTTGGAAATTTACGGTGTTACAATAAGTCAAATACAACTTTTATTCCAAACATCAGAGTGTCCCATGAAAACGCCTGAGAGAGTGAACGTCGCGCCATCAAGCTTTGTCATTGCCCTTGGGCTCTGATGTACCTGAAACAAATCCATAAATTGTAAGCTAACGCTTAGTTAGTTCCCCAGAGCATACCCCAACACACAAGTCACATAACACATATCATAACAGCTATAAAATCTTCCTCTACCACATATCACATATCATCTTAGCTATAATGTTATCTCTACCATTTACCATAAAGTCCATCTCTACTGTTAGCTATAAAAGTTATCTTTACCATTAGCCATAAAGGCTATCTCTACCGTAAGCTGTAAAGTTATCTCTACCATAGCCATAAAGGCTATCTCTACCGCATATTACCACATAATCATGCCACACACCTCTACACAACGAGTATACCAACTATCATAAAATGGGTCGGGCTTGGTGCCTTAGACGCATTGGTATGGTGAGAAGACTCACCTTTTGTCTAACGAATCTGAAAGTTGCTCTCTTGACAATCCGTAACCTCCCCGTGCTGAATAATAATAATAATATTAACCCATGTTAGGACATCACATGATCAAGGGAAGCCTAAACCCCAAGTCCTTCCATAAAGGCCCAAATATCCTTTCTTTGTTAATGGGTCCAAGTCCATGTCTAAAAATCATTAATGGGACTCTTGTCCCAATAAGGCCCTACCTTAACATCAATGGCCCAAAACAGATAAAATAGCCCACTATTCCTAAAATGCAACAAGGTCCAATAACCAAATGAGGCCCAACAGTTTAAAGGCCCAAAGCAGATCCAAGCCCACATGTGGTGCATACGCTTAGTGTACCACTCTGGTATGTGCAGCGTAATGGGTCTCTGGGACGTACGTGCAGCGTATGCTAAGTTACGCCCAGTGTACTAACAGATTAATCACTTTCTCCATTAAGTGCTTAATACTCGATTCCTTTACGTCCAAAGGTCAGATCTAAGCTTATTAAGATGACCTAGGGCATAAAGTTGGGAACTTTATGCCTTTGCATGTCTCATATGCTCCCAACACCCTCATTAAGACCTTTTTAAGGTTCTTAACCCATGCATGAGGTCAAAACACCCACCAAGACTCCATTTTTATGTTGCAAACGAACCAAAGGACCTCAGATCTGTCATTTCCATCCTATGGAGTTTCTCAACTCACGAGAGGAGGTCCAAAATCAACAAAGGGGACAAAACTAGAAAACCCTAGCTAGATCTAGTGATTAAGATGGAAAGGTCCAAGCTTTATACCTCCAGAAGCTCCTCAAGGTCGACTATATGCAAATTCTTGAAGCCAAAAGACACGCCAAGCTTCCTTGACAACTTCTCCTTCTTGAATGAACACTAAGGACCACAAATACACTCTTAAAGCTCAAAATGCACTCACAAATGGTATTAGGGTTTTCAAAGACGTTTGAAGGTCAAAGAGGCTGATTAGGGTGAGGCTCAAATGAGTTAAGGGTGTTTATATAGGTCTCAAGTCTGAAAATTAGGGTTTGGACATCTGGCACGTATGCCCAACGTACTTCTGGTATGCACATCGTACGTGCTTCCCTTCCATGTTTCTTCTTGCCAAGTATGCTAAGTGTACTCATAAGTACACCTAGCGTACTTAAGGGCTTCTTATGATATATTTGAAATACTTCAAGGGCTACAAGGTCATACAAGCTTTGGAGTGTTACATCGTTGTTATGAACCAATAAGTACTAGATTAGTCATTGATTACAATTCAAGTATTGATTGGTCTACTTATGTGAGAGGTCCCTTGGATAGACACATTGGTTTAGTTGTTGGATTTCATAAAGGTTATATGCTAAAATGGTCATGTCTCCCAATTATCTTGACTGCCAATCCTTATTTGATAGCCAATCCAATATTGTTGGGTTAGTGATGGATCTAAATATAAGCTCTTATACTCAGATAGTTACTAATCAATATAGTATTATAAGTTGACACATGTTTGTTGAGTCATTTGTAAACCAACCTACTTAGGTATTTCATGACTATTGAGGTGAGTATTTCAATATACTATGTGTTATAGTATATATGCTTGTATGATAGGATATAAGGGCTGCTAGAGTAAAGTTGCATGTATGGACAAGTACATTCTCCTGCATGATTGGATTATTGTTTATATGTTTCGTTTACATGTATGTATAAGGAGTTGATGGTGGAATGAAGATAGGCTATGAGCCTATAAACCCGTGTTGTTGATAGAAATAGGATGTGAGTCAGATACACCATTATTGGTGGAAGCAAGAGATCGTGAGCTATTTTGTCTGCTCATATATGTATTGTTACATATTAATTTGGGGAACTCATTAAGCACCGTGCTTATAGATGTTGATCAAATATTTTCTGGTAGTTCCTCTGATCATGGGAAAGCTCCAACGTGACGGTACCCGCATCAAAGAAAGAATTATGGTTTAAGATTTCCGCTAAAAACTCTCATTATGTTTTCCTAATATTTAAAATGCATGTGTGACTATGATCTTTCTTTAATGAAAAGGGTATCGAGTTTTTTTACTTATGTTTTACAAATGAAAATTTGGTTTGAAAATCGGGATGTTAGACATAGGGTTGGTGACATGACCATCCTATCTAATCAATTTAGGAATCGGTAACAACAGATCAATATCCATTTGAATTAAATCCTATTTAGAATGAGGAGTGATTAAATACAAATATGAGTACCTTCATATTATGTTATATATGATGTTAGCCAAGGTTGTTATGTTTGTTTGCTCGTTTATTTGCTATTATTTAAGTGACAGTTATTCCCCTTTATATGCTTTCTTCTAAGATTTATTAATAAGATGATATTGATATATGAGTACGTTTTTATTCCATATGTGTTCGACACCCTTACCTACCTAAGTTATATTACCCGTCAGGTCCATTGCGTGGTGTTGATAGTTAGCTTGGTTTGTTAGGTTTTATAAATTTAAAACTAGAATTTTATTTTAAATGAGTTTATGTTATAAACTACGTTTATCACATCACCTAATAAGTCACATGTCTCATCTTTACACCATGCTTCTTAACACTAATGAAAATTGACTAGATGCGTAGAAGTCACACCAATATATATTGACTAGAAACTTAACAAGTCGCACCATTAGATATCGACTAAACAAAAAGCAATTCACACCAATAAATATTGACCAAACACTCAACAATCCACATCGTTATATATCAACTAGACACTCATCAAGTCACGCCAATAAATATCAATTATACACTCAATAAGTCACACCATTAGATACCAACTAGATACTCACTAAGTCACACCAATGAATATCGACTAGACACTCAGAAAGTAGCATCATTTAATCCCAAAAAGGATTTTCTTCATCCTTGTAATGATAACCACGAAACATTTACAACTCTAGATACATACATCAGGTTATGTTTAAACACATTCTTAACACCAACTACAGTTATCTACTCACATCGTTACGGCTTGTATGGTCATATGGATAATCTTTCGTGCTTTCAACTCCCTTTTTTAGTTCTTTTACTTCACCCACTTTAATGAACATGTCGTTACATGTATTTTAATCCCCATTACTTAACTGGGCATATTTTCCTTATGGGAAACCAAATTTTAAAGAAGCAACAATCTTTTAGTTCCCTTTCCAAAAAAAAACCTTTTAGTTAATGAAGCCAAAGGTTCACGTCCGAGAACGAGAAAACTGTTTCATCGACTTGAAGTAATACGTGTTAATATATGATATAAAAAAATCATATTACATTCATAAATGATACATGCCAACCAAAAATCATTTGACTAGTACTAAGGCTGGACAAGCAAAGCATGCGGGCGTTAGTAGGATGTTTGTATTCGATGGACCCAGATTTAAGCAAGTTATGCTGAGATTAGGCAATGACGATTGGAATTCATTCAAAACAGGGGCGAGGATAAGTGCAACTAAGGTGCATCCAATGACCCATCTAAATTTTTTTTTTAATTTATCTAAAATTTCTATAGAAAATTTTTAGTGACTTACTTTAAAAAAATTTAAGAACTACCTTACCTATAAAATCTTTGAATTTATAGAGAAAACTTTCTATAGTAAAATTAATGAACCATATAGTTTTTTATTTTATACTCGCCACTTATTCAAAACACCTACCCAATAAATTCAACGGTCTATTAACATTTAGACTCTTATGATGTGTCATTAATAAAATACTTACCAAATAAGTTGGAAAAAGCCTGAAAAATTATGGGATTTTTAGGCCTATAACGGGCTTGTTTTCAGTAAAATGACCAGGTCAAGGTGTTTATCGGGTTGCATTGACCAGGCTTTGTCCACAAGCTACGGTTGGACCAGACCGACCAACCTGATGTGCATCTTTAAGCCAATTGTTATAAGTAATTTAACTTGTAAATATACTAAAACTACTTAAATTTTGATTGTAGACTTTTTTTTTAATTTTTGAAACATCTGAGGTGATGGTGGTGGGTTGCGACAAAGCAGGGGAAGGGCAAGATTTCTTGTTCTTTTAAATTTCGATTGTATATTTCATTCCGTCGTTTTCCCTATATGTGGATTTACATTAAAAAAATCAGTTTTTTTGTGCATTGGTTGCCAATTTAAGCTTTTTGTATGAGAATTCTTTTGGGTATTTGAAGATGTCCCTTTGCTTTCCTTACATAACTAGTTATGGTACACATAGATTGGTTCCAAGATAGTATAACTGCATAAATGGTCGAATATGGGAGTTAATTTCCAATATGGATTAGTTTCTTTGGGCATTTAACTCTTATATAGTTGTTGTATGTCCCTCATGATACCAATATGACATAGCATAGTGTGGTTCAACTTAAACGGTCGTCTCTTTTATATGTTTATTTTTCCGTAAATTTCTTGAAGTCCCATTTACACGAAGGAAAAACACATGTATCGGTTAATATTTGTTACTCCGAAAAAAAAAGAACACACCTCCTATATGGGCATAAGAACATGAAGAATCATGATGGTGCAATTGAAACCTTTTCAACCTCAACGATGTACTCAAGTGTTGAATTAGGAAGAATCTTAAAACCAGAACCAAAATCCGCGCCCTCTTCTCCAAAACCAAGAGCCGAAGGAACTATAACTCGTCTTTTGCCACCATTTTTCATGGTTCTTAAAACCATCTCAACACCTTCACACATTCCCTTGCTATAAGGCCTTGATCCAACCACAAGAGCCAATGGTTTCTTGTCCTTACCAAAAGTATCAACAAATACTCCATCTCCTTGGACACTTCCCTTGAGATCTACCACCACTAAATCCCCTTTCCTTGGTGTAGCACCACCCCCCACTCTTAGCTCATAATACCTACATAACCAAAACCACTATTTAATTAATAAAAATTCATAAAAGATCTCAGATTTAAGTATAGAAATAGACAATTAGACATCATCTAAGAGATCGTAATTTACATCCCCTAATGGATGGTTAGACCAATTGGTTAGGAGGTGAAGGTCAATTCTAACCATTAGGTAAATATTTATCAAGGGCTAGAATAGTATTTATTGTGACGGAATCAATAACGAATGAGATGATCTGTTTTAATGGAATGAAAGAAAGAAAATTGTTCAATGTGGCCGATAAAATGGAATAAATCACTTTTTTCCAATCCTTTAAGTTGGGCATATTCGTCATCATTTCGTCATGATATAAAATAAAGTTTGTAATACGACACATTTTTTGTTCATTTTTTGTTCATATAAAGTTTATTTAAAACAATCTAGATTTTTTTATACTATTATGATCTTAGTTGGTTTTAAAAAGGTTTTAGATGTTTTTTTTTTCTTTTAAAAAATCATCAAATATAATTAAATAATATATAGAATAGAGTCGAAGTTATAAATATTAATATATGATATAAAAAATTATTATATTCGTTTTCAGTTACATACATTGGTTACTTCATTACTCTGTTTATTTCATTTATTTCTCATATCATTTTATCCGATTAAACAAACCAAAAATGATACTTAACATCGCGTACCTTATGCCATTAGGTAAAACCACCTCCACTTCTTTCTCAACATCTCTACAAATACAAATAAAAATCATCACAAACCAACATCAAACTTGAGTACTACATCAGCATTTTGATGCATCCAAATATCATTCATAAACATCAGTTCCTTATGATCTAATCTGCGTAACAAACCTTGTATTCGCTTCTTGTTGATTAACTTCATATCGTGTCTTAATTTGCTCAGAAGCAACACCAAATGCTAGAAAACCAGCCCAAGCCAACCCCGCACCAAGACCAAACCTTCTCGTCAGCCCCGAAGCTATCCAATCGGTCGAATCAGCACTTGTCCCCCTACCACCACGTTGCACTGGCGGCAGTGGTGGTGGTGGTGGTGGCGGCTCTGGCGAACTGTTACTGAGGGACGGCAGTTGTGGTGGTAGAGATAAACTCTGAGTCCTTGCTACAGGAATGGACACAAAGAGTGGAGAACCAAAAAAAGTTGCCATATGAATAATCACTCACTTGGGTGTTCTGGTGCAATATTTATACTTATGGTCCCTACCTTATCTCAACTGATAAGATTTTGGGGGCTCTTATAGCTAGCGATAATACCTTTTGTACTACGTACAAGTGTACGACTATTCATGCATATAATAATAATACAAGGCTGCTCAAATCATTAATTTATAGATATATAAGCTACAAATGAACCTTTTTTTTTTTTACATTGGGTATCCGAATTTACACTGCGTTGTCACACGTGCAAGCCAAAAGTACATAAAAATTACAACAAAAATAGAACAATTTAGTCCCGTGAGGTTTTTGAACTGGTGATCGGCTTTTGTAGGGGTTTCAATGCAGCCATGATGTCAGCAAATGAAGGCCGTAATTTTGGATCTCTGTATAAAATTGACAAAAAGGACATTGTGATTTACATTTAATTTAAGAAATAGCAATAGCATCTTCTTATCAATTATTTTTAACAGCATAATACTTCCAATTTTGTTCTTATTAAAAAAAAAACATTTTAACTTAAAAAACCTAATCAATTAATACATTGAATATCAAAAAAATTTAAATTAGGACATTTTTACGTTGAAAAGTCTAGGTCGACACTGATATAGTTGAGTAGATTTTTCATGGTATAATGGTGTAATAGAAACAAAATGGAAGTATAATAATTGGTAATAATAAAGAAATAAATTTAAGTAGATTATTATTTGTTAGGAATGAAGTACTTACGTTTGCCAACATCTTTCAATAATTTTAGAAATGGTGGGGTCCACGTCATTAGGAATTTCAAGACGACGATGTTGAAACCCAACAGCACCAACAACTTGCATCGGGTTCATTCCACCCCATGGTTGTTGTAGCGTAAAAAGCTCCCATAAAATCACACCAAAACTATAAACATCACACCTGCATTACATTCATCTATCAAAATCAATAGAAAAAAAAATATATTTTTATATATATTTTATTCCCCGAAACATTTGTTTTTTACATCAAAGTGATCTAATTATGGAATATGATAAATAAAAAAAGACCAACTTTTCATCTGAAGGTTCATTTCGTAGGACCTCGGGTGCCATCCATTCTGCCTGAAAAACATGTGTGTACATATTGAATTGTCAATACAACAAATGGTGTACATATTATCAGTCGCTTTATGTTAAACATGAGGATTATTATTCATCAAGTCGTGGTGATTATTATACAATAAATGGTGTACATATTAGCTAAATGTTATTGTGATTTTGGTCTCTATTGTGTCGTCCTTTTTGCATCAACTCAAAAAGATACACCCATATAGGGGGTGTTTCTTTTTTACTTAATGAGCTTAATGTGTTAAGCACTTACTCTCGACAACTACAGATAACCGTTTCTTTTTTACTTAATCCGGACAAAATGACTTAGTATTAAGATGCTGACCCTTTACCTATTTTCCCTTCTTTTTTTTTTTCTTCCATCTCCTCTCACGTTCAAATTGATGAACATTGTTATTAATGTGGATTGTGAATTTTGTTTTTTTCTGGATTGTAAAGGTAAAATGGTCATTTAATCTCATCATCGACACTGACCCTTTACGTATAATTAATATTTAGTATGTTGATAGGAAGGAGAAAGAAAGGAGGTACTATAGTATGGCAAGCCATACCGTTCCTGCAGTAGACCTTGATGAAAGGAATGTGCTGTACTTCATCCTCGACAACCCAAAATCACAAACCTAATGACATGACATGACATGACAGAATTCAATTCATCATGATATTTGGTCAAATTGTAATTCAAAATTTCAAAGGGTTATAATTCAATGATACCTTCACAACCCAGTTTTTATCAACAAGGAGATTTGGGGACTTCAAATCGCGATGAACTATAACCGGACTGCAGTTGTGCAGATAATTCATACCACGAGCCTGAAAGTTTGGTTTTAAGTATACACAATTTATTATTATTGACCTTTTTTTCTTTTTCTTTTTAAAAAAATTTTAAGACAGAAAAAAGAAGTATTAATTAAAGGCAAACCAAGATTGGAAAATAACATACGGCATCCAGCGCGATCCTCAAACGCCTTCGGATATCCAGTTGATTGTTGGGCCGGTGGATTAATCTATACAAACTACCTCTGCAAAAGATAACAATAATATTAATATGTTTCACTTTCTTCTACATGATTTATTTTTTATTATTAAGGCATATCTACCCAACAACTCATCTTCTCATCTAACTTTTGTACCAAAGCCAAACATCATATTATGAATGTTAGCTTGTTGTCAATGTCATAGCTAAGTAAAAATATCCCACATGAATATAATTGCAAGAACAAGAAGCATCCTATTCAATAAATAGCACAAAGGGAATAAATATATGCATACTAAAAGGGATAATATTAGAGTGTGAGGATGCATGTGTTGCTTTATCTCCTATTCATAATTACTCATAACTCTAGAAGACGAATGATTATTCATGTACAAAGTAGCATACTAGAATTGTCTATCCGTATTACGTATAAGGCCAAGTTTCTCTTATTTGTAATCACTTCACCTTCACCTTGTGAGATCAATAAAGAATGCTATTGTCTTTTCTAAGGGTACGTTTGTTTCACGGGGAATTTGAATGGAAGATTCCTTTGATAACATTTTTGGTTGACAAAATCGATGTAATTGGATTCCATCAAAATCCATGTATGAAAGAATTAATCATTACTTTGGGGAGTTGGGGTATAACCAAAGAATCTAAATTCATCTCTCTGAACCTATAAACAAGACATTTATCCTTCTATACTTTTAAAACTAAATTTGAGTACATTATAAATTCTATAACCAATAATGAGTTGATCCTTTGGGTACAACCAGAGAATCTAAATTCGATTGCTCTACGCCTATTAAGAAGACACGTATCCTTTTAACTTTAAAATAAAATACCACTATTTCATAAAAAAAATTAAATTTCATAATTGATGTTTCAAAGAGGATTTTAAACCGATCATATCTCCTTAGAATTGTTTCAAAGGAAAATAGATATCATCTAAAGGGAGGCCCATAATCTAACACCTTGTTTCCAATTAACTTTTTCAAAAAACAAAGAAGCAATTCTTTCTCTTTCAAAGTCAAAGGCAGCTTTGGAAACTATATGCTACTCAATGTTGACTAGCATTGGAAGAAGACAATAAATGGACATTTGGAATTAAGCCTATCTTAGTATATATGTGAAGTGAGTATGTTGTTAGTTTTTAGTTATATATTGTCCATTGAGAAGACATGAATTTTAATTGTACTATCATATATGGAAGCATTAAGTATATAAGATAAGGACCAATGAGGTTTTTAACTTCATTTTGAAGGGCTTTCCTTAGTGAAAACTTCATCTTCATCATTATATTTCCATTTTCTGTATTGCTCGTTATAGTGAAGCTTTAGGCACTAATTAATATTGGAGTTTTATATTTCTACATAATTATGTACCTAAAATCATGAAAGGTGATGTTTCATCTTTTTTTCCAACTTATGCAACTAAGCGGTTTTTTAGATGAAATATGCAACCATGTAACCAAAACTAGCTATCTCATAACATAGCATGTTAAATGTTTATACATGCAACAATGTTTCATTTTTTTTTACCAATTTATGCTACTCAAAACGAACTATGCAACCACATGTCAATTGATTAAATAGGTTTTGTGTAAAATGAAGCATCTTTTGATGCTAAAATGAAATGGCGTTGCGTATTTCATATAAAATCTTTACCTTTGAAAAAGGTGAAACATTGTTGAATAAATGTGCATCTAACTCTTGAGAGTATATGTATATATTAAGTGACATACCTAGGAAGAAATTCAGTAACAATTGAAAGATGTGGAGCACGTGTTATAGCTCCCATGAAGAGTACCACATTTGGATGCCTAACTCTTTTCATAATACCAACCTTCAAGACAAAAAAGAATCAATAAGGACATAAACATTTACAAATTAGTATAGGAATTTTCTCCACCCTAAACAAGAACATGGATTAATGATAAAATAACATATTCCAACAATTTTCACCCATTCCATTTCCATATATATTGTTAGGACCCTGTTTCTGTTTTTCCCATTATTATGTTGATAACATGCAAGCAATATGTCATTAATTCGTGTGAATGTTAGAAAAGAGAATATTTTACCTCACTTTTGAATTCCTCAAGGGATTCAACAGTTATTTCTTGGTCTAGGAACTTCTTAACAGCAACTTCCTGATATTCAAAAGTGATGGGAAAGAAAATAAATGAATATATCTCCAACTTTGAAAACCTTTTTTCGGTTTGTGTAATTTCTTTTTTGTGTTCTTTGTTTGTTCTCTATTATTTATTTTCAAATTTTATCTTGTCTATTAATTTTGTGTGTGTGTATTTGTACATACAAATATACCACACACATGACATGACTGTCTGTTTTGCATGTGTGCATATATAGTTCTTTTTTTATTTTCGTTTTATGATACTCCATATTACTTTCATATTTCTCATTTTTCATTTCTTTTTAGTTTATTACATTGTATGCAACATCATAATAGTATGAACATTTAAAAATTATCTTACAGTTCCATGCCAATCACCACGATAAACCTCACCATATGATCCTGCAAAAAAGAGACCATTATCAATTATCAATTGGATAACAAAAAAAAATAGCAATATGATCCAATTTTTTCTTACTAGGACATTGTACTTTGAAAAAAAATATGCAATTGTAGCAATGAAAATTACTTTGTTATAACTGGGTAGATTCTTCAAAATACAACATTGTAATAGGATGAAATAATAAGTAGAGGATGTAATAAACAAATATATGGAAATTACAACAAATGAAAATTAGGATATTAAACTTGAATACAATACCTAATCCAATACGTTCACCCAAGGTGATATCCTCCCATGCAATCTCACAATCCGCCACATCATCAAGGGAAACTTCCGATTTCATGCTATCATTCCCAGCAGACCTATCCGATACTCTCTCTCCTTCATTCTCACCCGTTTGTAAATTACCAAACTGCCCATTTCCATCCCTTTCCACTACACCAAAAGCCTCACACTTCCTGTCAACAGCCGCCACCACCGCAGCAGCGGTCACCGTGGCAGCAGCCGCCACCGGTAGTTCTATGTTCCGATTTGTAGCGGCAACCACCATCGACGATGCAACAACCGCCGCAGCTGCCGCTGCTGTCGCGGCGGCAGGAACCTTGGGCAAAATGGGTAATTTACATTTTTGACCCTTTTTGGGATCCCGGATGTTTTGATCATCTTGAGGAGGAGGAGGAGGAGGAGGGCGTGTATCCTCTTGTTGATCATAAACTTCTGTAAAGAGATTTGCAGGGGCAACAACACCGCTTTCAAGTAACACATCATGCAGTTTTTGTGCTAATTGAGGGTTTTCTTTAGCAGCATCGATCATGTACTGTGAAACATCTTTGACCTTCATTTTTCTTACTGCAGGTGAGCTCACACCTTCGGTCCATGAAGGTGACCTGGCATGGGTGTGATGAGAGGGTCTCAAAGGTAAAGATTTCTTGGGTTTCGGTTGAATGGCTCCATCATCAGATCTTTCTCTTTCTCTTTCTCTTTCTCTTTCTCTTTCTCGGGTTCCAAAATCGGAGCTTTCTTCTGATGAATTTGTGAGGCCACTTCTTGAAGTTAAACGAGAGGAATCATCATCGTGGGACCATGGACTTGATGTCAAGGAAGATTCATCATGATCTGTGTGGGCTGTGTCTGATGGAATAAGGGTTCCGGGGTCTGCCATTAGATCAACAATGTATTCCCTGGGACCCACATAAATAATTGTAATGAGCATCAAGATAATAATAATAAATTAATAATAATAAGTTGAGTATTAGTGTTAAGACTAGAGGTAAAGGGCACAACCTTCCATCACCAATCTTTATCAAGTTCATGGCAACATCACTAGAGCCTGTATATTGCTTCCCTTTAACCAAACGGCATGGTATACCAACACTATCAGCCAAAACCTATGAAAAGATAATATTACTAATATTTAGTTGTTTCTTTTTTACTTAACGAGTACAAGGCATAATCTGGTAAGCAGCTATAATATACATGGGTGTTTGTGTTTCCTTTGGACTTAATGCAGAAATATTAAGTATAAAAGAAGAGTGAGTGACCTTAAAAAGCAAAGCACGATGACATGCCATCCCAAGTTTTAGCAAGCCAAGAGGCAAAACCATGCTTCCAAGAGTTGCCTTCAATTTATAGCTAAAATTCCGCCATGCAACAAACATTTTGTCTGGATCCCCTACTGGACCACCCATGTAATTTGAAACTAAAACTGCAAGTCTCTGCACAGTAACAGATTCTGATGCTGACGTGGCAGTGACTTCCAGTGCAGCTTGTTCAAGTTGTAACAGCTTGGCATCCACAGCTTTGTTGACAACAATTGCCTCCCATGTCACGTTTTCAGACACAGGGGTCGCTTGTAAATCCACTAGTGAAGGCATCTTTGATGATAAAGCTGTTGTTGAAGTTGAAGTTGAAGTTGAAGTTGAAATCTCGTACAGATCGTAGAATCCATCAATGATTTTATCATCATAGCTAAGAGCACTGTAATTCTGTCAAGTATGAATGAGTCTAGGACATGAGAAAGAACATACATTTATTTTCTAAATTCTAATCCGAAATTTAGTATTTACAAACTAAAACAACAACAGATTTGATCCATGATAAAGTGAGATGGGAACTGAACTTACCCAATATCTATATGAAAGGACTTCAGCAGGAGTGTTATTCTCAGCCGGAAAGGACCCCAAACTGATCTGTTTAACAGCTTCAATCTGAACAGCTTCAGGATCCTCTCTTGCGCTTAACTCCAAAGCCAATTGTATTTGGTACTCTTCTTCTACCTCTGGATCCCTCGAATTACCAGACCCTGAATCCCCTGCCCTAACAGCTTCCATGGCAGCATCAAGTGCTTCGCTACTCATTGAATCAAACCCTTCATTCTTATCCTCTTTTTTCACATTTGAAGATGACGGAGGGCTAGGACTTCGCCGATTCGTTACTGAATTAAGCCATCCCGAAATACCAGATAAGGATTTATTGTGTTCAGGGGGGAGGCTCTCGATTGATGAAGGGACATCGATCAATCTTTGATTATTGCCCTTTGAAGAAGAATTACACCCATCTGAGTCAACATCCGAAGTTTGATTAGGCATCATGTGTAGCTTCTTTAGAAGATTCTTCATACTGTTGCTACTTTAAATAAGTAACTGAGAAAGTCAATGCTAAAGAAGAAGAACAAAAACAACACATAACGCCATAAACGTCTCCATTTTCTTAAACCAAGCATGTATTTCGTTAACCGATTGAGAACCCCATAACCTCAGGACTACCGCCGATGAAATCCAACAACAACCCCTGAGGCCAGTAATTGCTTCAAATTAGCAATACCCAGATGCTTAAATTAGCAAATTGTTGCACATTTTTGCTCATAGGAACCAACGATCTTGAAGACTACACGAAGAATACGGATGGATTACAAACACCGTCAAATGAGGATGAAACAAACGTATGGTTTATGCTACTCTATTCTATTTACTTGGTTGATCTATTAACTCAATATCCAATTTGCTACCATGAAACACAAAAAAACTGGATTTCTGAGAGAAAAAGCAAAGAGAGATCAGCCAATGAAGAGGAAAAGTATTAGCAAAAGAGTATGGCAGAGACAGCAAAGAGCAACAAGTGGGAGCAAAGATGATGACCCACTTGAGGTTTTTGAGGTACAATCGTTAATGCAGAATTTTTATTTATTTATTTTGTGAAAAAAAACAAATAAGAAAACAGCTTGCGTCAATCGTTAATCCAGAATTTTTATTTATTTATTTTGTGAAAAAAACAAATAAGAAAACACCTTGCGTCGACTCTGACTCCGTCTCTCGTATGCAAGGATTTCCATTCTCCTATCAAAAGATTCAAGATGCGGGTTTTATAAAAGCGTGGGATTTTATTTTTGGACGGCTAGCCGGGCAGGTAGAGCTGTACGCAATTTATTTATTTATTTATTTATTTTAGGCTTTAAGTTGGTATGATTAAGTTAATAGAAATCCGTTAATATCTGAAATGAAACTCCAATTTAGGAAAAGTCTTTTATCAAGTGAGCTAATCTTACGTTGATGTAGGCAAGTTGAAGGGGCACACGATTTAATTTCTGAAACTTATATAGCATATGTGATGATAATGGTCAAAAGCTCTATTCTATTATAATGTTTTTTTTTTCTATTACATTACTTCACATATATTCTAGTCGGCATAATTTATTTGCTTTTATATCATCAGATTTCTATGTGATGCTATTAAGTACATTTAGAATATATACTTGGGTATGGAATGAATTGAAATTACAAGTTGACATATAATAAATTAATATAGGGTTAATTTCTTTAAAAAAAACTTAATATTTTTATATTTCTTTTGTTTTAAATCAACACTCTTTTATATAAAAAGAAAAAGAGAAAAAAGAACCAATATTTTCATTTACTTTTTTGTTATTTAGTTGGAATATCTCGTTTCAACACAAACTTATTGACTTGGTTCAACGATACAGGATAAACTATATAATATGATCGAAGTTTTTAATTTACAAAATTGATTCTATCGCAACTAAAATGTAACATACACAGTGCCGGACGCAAAACATTTTCATAGGGGTGACACTAAATTTTTTTTCCAAATAAATCTATATTAGTAGTGTCACTCGTGTTTTAAGTCGGTGCACCCAATAAAAAAAAAATTAATTTTTGTTTACACTATGTGACGGCATCAGAGCAGTGGCCCGGGACCCCTGGGGCACCATTAAGGTCCGCCACTGAACATACATTAGGTAGTGTATATAATCGTATAACAATATAGTTATGGTGAGACTAAATGTCGAACACAAGGAGAACGAGTATGATTTTGATTCAGAAAATAAAATTATTAATTAAACTAGACAAATAATTTAAAATTAGGGTATTGTTTACATCGAATTAAACTCAAATTTAAACTAGCAAATGAAACTAAAAACTAAATTAAATACATGATATAACGTACTTCCATTTAGATTTCAAATATCCCCTCAATTATCGTTGATAAGTAAAAGGTACAATGATTTTATTTCGTTGTTTACCGATTCTCAATTATCGTTGATAAATAAAAGGTACAATGATTTTATTTCGTTGTTTACCGATTCATATTCTCAATGGCGGAGGGAGTATTAGCCCCCCCCCCCCCCCCCCCTAATCGCCATCTATTTTAATAAGTCTGTCATAGTTGACTAAGCCATTTAGTTAGACACTTGGAGTTTTAATTGTTTTAATTGTGTATCTCAAAAAAAATCAAATTTACATAGTTAATCCTTTTAGAGAAAATGATAAAAATAATCATTTACACTAATTACATTATAAAAATAGCTAAAAATAATCGAAGTTGCAAAAATAACCACGAATTTCGTAGATGGAATAGTCCCATCTGCGAAATGGGCTTTCCATCTGCGAATGTACAAGCAGTTAAAGCACAACTGTGCTTTAGCTGCTTATACATTCGCAGGTGGTTTATTTTATTTTATTTTAGTTTCTCTATATATATTGAATTTGTAGGGTAAAATCGCAGATGGTATAGCCCCATCTGCGATTTACTCTAATTCCATCTACGAAATTGCGGTTATTTTTTAATTTTTTAATTTTTTTTTAGTTTGATTATGAAATCAATTGGTTTGACTACGAAATAATGTTGCAGTGGAAAATTTTCATAGATTCAATCATTTTTTAGTTTGACTATGAAACCAATATTTGTTTTTAGTAGATTCAATCATTTTTTAGAGCAAATTTTAAAGAAACTTCCTATGGCCAGGTAGTTTTCATGAAGAACTATGTATACAATACTAATGACTGTAGTATATACTATAGCAATGGATGTCTTAGCCTTGCGGTCACTACCGTCAAGAGGATCACACTTGATCATATTTGAACTGTTAGGATAAAGCACTGGTGCTTGTCCCCGAGTAGAATCCATATCCGGTCTCTTTACATCACCATATCTTTTCGCGATTTTTTTAGGATTTTAGAGTGTCTTTTAGCCCACATTAGGGCATTTTCTTTATTTTTGAAAAATCACAAGTTTGAAAAGGAGCTTACATTACATCTTTATGCTCCACACATGGTCATTTTCACACTTAGACCTTTCGGATTATATTACTACCCTTTCGGTTCCACTTACACACTTTTGGGAACCAAATTTTGAGTCAAAGGGTTTCCTAGTTAAAAATTTCGATTGTTAATACATTACCTTCAAGTATGGAGATTAAAAAAAAAGAGAAAAAAAATAGAAAAACAAAAAGGGCAGGCAAATTCCCAGCTGTAGAAATTTGAGAAGGGTAACCGGGTCAATTATTGAACAAAATTTTCCAACATTTTGGTCACCCGGCGTTTGATATTCATTTGTATAGGTTTGATTTATTGTATTTATATCAAGTTGTTTTTCGCAAATTAGTGATGTTAGGAGGCTGTCGAGTCGGATACTACAAGAGGTTTGGGCCAACACCAAGTGAGCCGATTCCTACAACGGTGCCCGAACGATTAAACCTAGTTACACATGATAGAAACCGGCAGACGTGAGATGAAAGTGTACATTTAATGAAGAGCTCCACCCTAGCCTATCCAGCTGCTTTCTCCCTACTATAGATGTTCTTCATTGTATGCATGTTCCATTGAGGCTGCGACTGCTCATCCCTCCTTACTCACCTAAAGGAGTTGTCCTGGCTGTGGTTTATGTTTCCATTGTCATCGGATGAAAAATTCGTGAGTTAATAGCAAGATTAATTCTGACCATGTTGACTAATGGTGATCAGGTTCCGTGGTTCTATCCATTCTTTTTATTTTCTCTAGGATAGTTCATCCCAAGTTTATTTTGGTCTTGTCTTACTTGAGGACAAGTAAGGTTTAAGCTTGGGGTGATTTGATAGTTTGTTTTATTTACTTCTTTTTATAGTTTATTTTAGCATATTTCACTCATAATTTAGATAATTTCCATGCATATTTTCCTTTTTGTTATTTTATGACTATTTCGGGTACTTTCGAATCTTGTGAGCATAATTGCAGGTTTTCAGGTCTAGCGGAGCAGGAGTGTTCGGGACGTATGGAAAGCAATGGGAGTTGGTAGACAAAAAGATTGTTAGGCTTGGTGATTGTGGAGATGATGTATGGAGTGAGCTTGATGATTATTTGAAGACTTGGAGAGAAATAAACTTTAAATTTGCAAGATGCAGGAGTTTATTCAAGCATGCGTAGAGTATTAACCGGACGAGTTTGGAGGATTTGGAGAGGCCAAATTGGGCTTAAAATGAAGAAAAAATTGAAGAAAATGGGATAGGAGGTGATTGGACTCGATCTGGGCTAGTGGGATATGCTTTGGAGGCCTAAAAACTCAAAGAAGCCTATGTCAGGCACCACCCGTGCAACCCACCCGTGCAGCAGCACGCGGGTCGTGCAAGGCCCTGTAGGGACATTTTCGGGAATTCATGTTTTGATCTATATGGGGAAGGTTGGTGTATCTTTTGCATACACTTAGACATCCGATTTTTGAAGATTCTTTCTGGAGTTTTGAAGACTTTTGAAGGCCAAGAACATCATCGTTTTACCTCTTGATTCTTGCTTAATGTTTGGTACAATCTTCTCTAACTTTGTTTCTTTGAGTTTAGCCATTCTTGGCTAAACTAATCTTGGTTGACTTTTGTTGAATCCTTTGAACTTTTGTTGAATTTTGAAGAATCCATGAACATGTTCTTAAATCTTTATGGGAATGTTTTGTGTTTTAACATCTTATCACTACTTGTATGGTTTAGTTCATGAGTTTAAATGTGTTTGTGGTGATTAGTTGGCTAATTTCTTGATTAAGTAAAGGGTCCTCAAATTAGCAAGCAACAAATGATTTTTGTGTTGTTTTTGCTTCAAAAAATCATAAAAACATTTCCTCCAACATGGTGGTGAAAGCATTTGACCCCTCTTGGATTTGGTGACTTTTTTGTTCTTAATGCTAGTTAACTTTCACTAATTACATGCTTAATGAAAATGGTGACTTTGACTAAGGAAGTTGTTATGAGCTTCTCTAACCATTTTAACAACTAAGAAAAGTCTAGGTAATCTCAAGCTTCTTGTGTCACACCCCCAAACCAAGGATGGCGGAAACGTCTGGGGGTGGAGGACTTCATGTACAGTATCACAACAACGTGTATAATAGTGCTCAAAGTAAAAACAACCACCATATATATAATTGCAAAAGTTACACCAAAGTATATGTTTATATGTTTCAAAAGCAATTACATTATGATGACAAAATAAATTGTTGACGGTTTAGCGTTCCATCCTCAAAGCGATGAAGTTTTCCTGTTTCACTGATTTCCTGAGAATACAAGTAG